CTGCAGTTCATGCCCAGGTTCCTTTGCACTCACATGGCTGCAGTACAGCCGGAGCTAAATTCCCAGACGCAGACGCAGAGCTGCTGGCTCACCCTTTTCAGCAGCTATCATCAGATTACTCTGCAATGAATGCACCTGCTCCCCGCCCACCCTCCCCAACACCCTCATCTGCCCTCCGGCCGTGCGGTCAGCAGGGTTTTGGGGAACTGTGTCGCAGGCCCCGCCAGCAGCCCCTCACCCGCAGTAGAAGACAGCCTTCTGCCACGCGCGCAGCCGGTCCGCCTTCTCTGCCGCCTTGTTTGCAAACTCCACGAACTGGCAGCAGAAGGGCGCCTCACACAGCAGCAGGACAAAGGCGTTCATGCTGGAGGGGCGAGAGACAGCAGAGACTGAGGATCCTGGGAGAGTGAGGGTGGCCCCCCAGAGCCAAGAGGAGTGCCACCCTCCTTCCCCGGCCCCTCCTCCTCCAGGAAGCCGCCCCAGCTCCAGGGTGCCTGCTTCTCCCCTCCAAGAGCCTCTGCTGAACACCTGGCCTGTCCCCGGCGCTCCCACAGGCCTGTCTCCCCAGCTCAGCTGAACACTCCCAGGGGACAGAGCCTGGGTTTGCGCTTCCTGTTAGCCTCTTCCCTCCTGTGTGACACGGAGGAAAGAAGCCCCCAGCAGGGCGTTGCTCCAAGCGCTCAGCGGCTCTGCTGGCAATCAGTAGTGTCGCCCGCCAGTCTGGAAGGCTGCCCCCAAGGAAAGGCAGAGAGCCGGAGCCAGCAAGTCCAGCCGCGAGGGCTGACTGCCCGAGCTGGGGAGGAAGGCACTCAGCAAGCCCTCTGCCCAGGCCCCGTGTTGGGCTGGGGACAGCTACTGGTGATTCAAGGCGACTGTGCCAGTCTCTGTGTTGCCTACGGGTGGGTAACAGTTACCTGACGCTGGGCCGGTCAAACGCACCAGGCCCTTCCATCTGCCCCCAAGCCTGGGAGGAAGGTGCTGTCTTTACCCGTTTAACCAACGGAACAAAGCTCGGGCTGCCCAAGAGCCCGCCCAAGCCCCAAGCAGGAACGCCAGGCCTCCAAACGCAACTCGGCTCGTGCTGGCCCACCCTCCCCCACGGACCCGGCCAGTCTTGGACTCCACCCCTGAACCCTGGCCCGCTGCCTCTGGCCAGCACAGGCCTTGGGGCCCTACCACAGCAAGCCCCCAAGTCCCTCTACTGGCCTGAGGTTCCTCAGGGTGGGACCTGCATCTCGTCCACCTCTGCACCACCTGAGCACACTACAAATTCTTGGCGCACAGACACCTCCCACGCACCTCAAGGGGCTCCCATCGGCCATAGCTGCACTGGCCTGCCCTCACCCACCCGCCCTCCCAGTGGGATGGAGCTACCCCTGCAGGAGTGCGCCAGGACTCCTCCGAGGGTGTGCTGACCGCTGGTTCCGTGCCGACTCTGACCCGCCTCTCCCGTCCACCTCTGGCTGGCTCACCCCACCTGCCCCTCAGCCAGCCCCAGTGGCCAGTCTCCCGTGCCACAGCCCTGGGAGCCCCCAGAGGGCAAAGGCCCCATTGCAGTGGGCTTGGTGTCCACACATGGGACTCAGTGGACACTCAGGCAACGTCTGTGGCCTCCGCCCTGCACCTGATAAAGGCCTGGGCAGCATTTCCTGGCCCTGACCCCTCGGAGGCAACCTGGGCAAGGCGGGAGCACGAAGGAGAAGACCCACACCTCGGCCGGAAACCCAGCGCCCCGGACCCCGCAGGCAGGACAGCCACGCGCTACTCACATCATCCACACGCCAGCCGCGATGTTCAGAGGGTGGATAGTGATGCAGTTGAAGAGGCCAGAGACCGCACAGGCTTGAAAGCAAGAGACAGGGGCGGGAATGAGCAGGGAGGAGGGAGAGGCCTGCGGGGAAGGCCGCCCAGGGAGGTGGCTTGAGAAATCTGGAGCGTCCCTTCGGATGCCCAGCACCCAGTTCTTCTCGTAGCACCCAGAGGTCCCCTGTCTTCTGAGACAGACGAGGCCACATAACTGCTCACAGGTAAGGACAAGACTCAAGAGACGTGAGGTGACTTGCCCCAGGCCCCCAGCAAGGTGGTGGTCAGGCTGCAGGTGGCTCTTGGAGCTTGGGAGGCCACGAGGGCATCTCGCCCTCCCTCCATTCCAAGGCACAAAGGAGCTGGCCCTCTGACCCCAGCTGCACAACACCCAAAGGGTGGTTAGGAATAAAGAGAGAATGTCTCACAAGGGTACTCAGTCCTCAGTAAGTGCCACTTGTCACCATTCACAGGGCTGGCCACACAAGAAGTCCTCTGACTCGGAAAACGTGGCTTGGATTTTGGAACAGAGACAGAAACCAGGTAAGACAGAGTGACCTTGGGCACGTTCTCTTCATCTTTCTGGGCGGCTTTCCCCTCTGTACGTGGGCAAGTCCCACAGCCCAGCCCACCCGCCGCTGCAATACCAAAGGGCCCTAAGGGACATGATGTGTCCTCTTCTACCCCAGATGGTGGCTTTGCTGACACCCAAGTGTGGCACCTTGACCTTCCTCCAGTCCCAACCACACCGGCCCCCTCCTGCACCTGCAGCCTACAGCCGGCTTCACAAGAACCCCAGGGGCCCGGGAGGCAGTTCCAGGGAGCCGGCAGTGGGGCAGTGGGGGAAGCTGCGCCCTGCAAGGCAGCAACAGCCACCGCTCATTAAACTTGCAGTAGCTCCTCTGCACCCGATCCTCTGACACGGGCCAGGAATTCTGCCGTTTTCCCGTGTAACCCTACGCAGGCAGCAGGCGACGGGAGGAAACCGGATGAAGTGAGCCCAAGATGCAGTGGGACTGCCCTGTGTGCCCCCAAGGTCTCCTTCTAAAAGCCAGGACTCAGGCCGGGCGCGGTGGCTCACGCCTGTAATCCTAGCACTGTGGGAGGCCGAGGCGGGCGGATTGTTTGAGCTCAGGAGTTCGAGACCAGCCTGAGCAAGACCGAGATCCCGTCTCTACTAAGAAGAGAAAGAAATTAATCGGACAACTAAAAATATACAGAAAAAATTAGCCGGGCATGGTGGTGCATGCCTGTAGTCCCAGCTACTCGGGAGGCTGAGGCAGTAGGATCACTTGAGCCCAGGAGTGTGAGGTTGCTATGAGCTAGGATGATGCCACGGCACTCACTCTAGCCCGGGCAACAAAAAAAAAAAAAAAAAAAGCCAGGACTCAAACGTGGCACCTATCCTCTGCACATCCTTAGGAACACAGGCCTTCAGACGGCAAGGTTCCCCTGAGCCACAGACCGCGGGGGACCGTCTGCCCCGGCACAGTGCCCAGTGGACAGCAGGGCTTCTCCCTGCGAGTCAGCCGTGCCTGGCCTCACCTGACAGCGCCTGCCTTCCCGCTGCGGTCAGCAGGCCGCTTCCAGCTCCAAGCCCACCCTCCCTGTCCTTCCCACAGCCAGCCTTGGGGGAGGACCAGGTCTCAGCCCAGCCTAGCAGGACTCCAGCCAGGCGTCCTTTAACAACAAAGGACTTGGGATGTCCACTCAGGGGTCTCAATGCTGGCATCTTCCACGTGAGGGGAGTGTCACCGTGCAATCATCTGCCTCCAGATGCTCTCAGGACCCAAGGGAAAGGCCAAAGGAGGCCTTTGCCACTCCAAAGGAGGGCAACCTGACCCAGGCCCTGTTTGAATTCCTGTTGCATCTCTAAAACACCTACATTCTACCTTGTATATAATATTTGGTATTCACATAACTATGTCCCCAATCTGCAGGTGAAACTGACAATTCGGGGCAATGTCCTAAGTTTAGCTTCTCCCAAAGCTGCATCTACCTGCAGCCCCCACACAGCACCGTGCACTCCTGGGGCAGGCACAGGTGCCCCCTTGCAAAAGCACAGACTAGGTGGGATTCCAGGGTTAACCTGGGGTCAGCAGGGTCACTGACCAAGATGGAGGGAGGGTGGTGGCCTACAGGCCAGTGAGGACCTTTCCTTTCTCCGCCACTGACCACCGTCACCCCTCAGCACCACCCACCCTAATCCCTAAGGCCCGACCTCGAGCCCACCAGTCTCTCCTGCAGAGTCGAACAGGTGCTTGCTCTGAACAGCAGCGACAGGGACTCAGGCCGGCCTCACCTCTGCCTCTGGATGAGGGCACACCTTGCCAGACAGCACACTCCTAACACGCACCATGCTGTCTGAACCTCCTTCCGCCGTCCACCCGCCTGGCAAGACTGTGGGACTCGAAGGTGACCCTGAGAGGAGGTCCCTCCTGGCAGGAGAGCTGGTGGGGTCTGCCCTGCCCAGACCCCAGGCCGTGCCAGGCAGGCTCTGTTTAATCCCTGCAGACTTCCCCAACAGACATTCCCTTTCTAAGGCCTTGCACCCTACCCTCTCCTCCCACATCATTCACACAATTTATATTTGCCTCTGGGAGGCCAGCCATGTGATCTTTATTTCACGTCTGTGGCATTACGGTCCCCAACCCCTGGGCCACGGCACAGCACCGGTCGTGGCTTGTTAGGAGTCCACCGGCATCCCCGCCCGAGCTTCACCCCCACCCCTGTCCGTGGAAACACTGTCTCCTATGAAACCGGTCCCCGTGCCGCAAAGGCTGGGGACCGCGGCGGTGGCAGATCTGCCTTCCTCACGTCCTTGGGCTCGTGTGGGAAGAGGCCGGCTTCCCGGAAGCCTGGTCCTGCACGGTCCGGCGGCTCGGAGGGAGGGAGCGCCTGAGCGCCGGGGCAGCGACGAGGGCCCGGGCAGAGGCCACCGCCCGCAGCTCCCCGCCCCGGACATTCGGGAAGCCTCCTGCCCCGACCAGACCCGTCCCCGCCCGGCTTACAGACGGTCCCCGTCCAGAGGCCAGGCAAGCCACCGCCCGCCCGCGCTCCACGCCACAGGTGGCACACAACGAGCGGGCTGAGCACGCGCCCCGCGTCCGGAACCCGCGCGGCCCGCACGTGCGCGCCGCTAACCGCAGCCTCAGAGGGGCCTGGTGCGGGGCCGGCGCTGCGCTCCCCGGGGACCCGGCTCCCTCCCGGGGTTCCCGGAACCGCCAGCCCAGTGGGGCACCGAGGCGCCCGGCCAGGGCCGCAACCATGGCAACCCAAGACGCCGGCCCCGCCCCGCCCCGCCCAGCTGGCCTCCCACGCCCCGCAGACCCCGGCCAGCTGGGGGCCTGCGGGGCGCGCATGCGCGGCGGACCGGCCCCTGCCGGCCGGGTACTCACAGACGGCCCCCAGCACCCCCGACAAGCGACACAGCCAGCGGTACCACCACGTCATGCCCTCCTCCTGCGCGGGTGGCGCGGAGCTGGCGGACGCCGCAGCCGCCCCGGCCGAGCCGCTCATGGTGCCGCGGTCCGGCGCCGCCCGCGGCCTTCACAAAGGGCTCCGGAGCCGGCCGCGTCGACGCCGGCGCGCGGCCTTGTGGGAGAGGCGGGTATTAGCATAGGGGCGGGCTCGCGGGCCGGCGCTCATTAGCATAGGGGGCGGGGCTCCGCAGGGCCGTGTTGACCGCGCACCCTTCGCCTCTCCTCCTTCCCGGGCCCGCTCACGTCGGGGCATAGCCGACGGCGCAGGCGTCCCCGCCCTGCCGCTGTGGGTTTTCAGCCGGGCTGGGAAAGGTCATGGAAAGAAAACGCAGCCGAGGTACACATTTCCTTTATTGTGCCCGAAGGCTGGGAGTGCCTTTCCAGAGTCTCCAGCCCCGCCCCCAGCCTTCTGGACGCCGGAGAAGACCCTAAGACTGGAGCAAGTCAGAGTTGGAAAGCAGAGGCCAGTGGTCACCCCTCCAGGGCTGGCCAGACGCCTAGGAAGTGCTCAGTACATGTCGGTCCCGCCGTTCCCTCCCAGGACTGGGGTAGCTGCGGATGTGCTGGAAGGGAAGCTAGGGCCGCTTGTGCTGGTCCCGCGCCCGCGGTTGGAGGGCCCAGTACTGGCCCTGCAGGCTGGCCCGCGCCTCCAGGAAGCCCTGGCTGAACTCCATCTCCGCCTGGCTGCCCTCCGACTCCCAGTAGAACACCTGCTGCCCGTGGAACGTTGTGGTCTTCAGGCTGTGGGTGTCCCGGATCTGAGAGGAACGGCCGGCAGGTGATAATCAGCCAGCGGTCATGGAAGCCGTGACCTGCAGGGTCTCAGCATTCTGGATGCTCGCAAGAGCCCAACGGGAGGAGACTTATCCAACCCAGAACTCTGAGCTCAGGGGTTACGTCGCCCCCCAAGGACACAGAGCCAGGGTGCCAGAGTGGGGATTTGAGCCAGATCTGTCTGATTCCAGAGGCCGGGCTGCCTCCCCTGGGGCGGGCTCCCGGGCAGTTCTCCCAGGACACACAAAACCCGAGGGGGAGCCGCTCTTCTGGCAAAGTTATATCGGCTGTAAAACTGCTTCAGCCCCAGTTAACGGGCAGTCTACATCGGGAAAGTTCTATTTCGCTTTTGCAGTAGCTCAATAAACATTCGTTGGTGACTACGTGGAGGAAAGTCCATTCCCCCATTCTTTCATTAGTGATTTTTAGGGTTTTGGTCTAAAATAAACTAAAAACGTCCCCTAGCCCAGCAATCCCTGTCCCATGGCAAAAGCCAGCGCACTTCTGTGCCCACCCTGGTGGCCTCACCAAGATGTAGCTGGCATTGGCTCCTTCGGTCCCAGTGCCCATGTCCATGGCCAGGGCGTGGATGGCAATCCGGGCCTGGGGGGCCACGTCGATGAAGAGCCGGCAGCCCCCTGGGTTCCTCCTGTCTGGACTCAGAGAGGGGCTCACGATTTCACCCCGGGGTCCAAAGAGCTGCCTGTCACATTCTGCAGGGGACGGCAGGTGGGTGGGCTGGGTGTGGGCCACCTCAGGGACACAGGAGCCCAGACTGACTGCTGATGCCAGAGGCCAGGGCAGCTCAGCTTACGGCCGGGACAGTATGGTGCTGTGGTCGATACGGGGGCTCCCAGGTAGAAGCCCCCCCGAACCCCACCTCTACCCCTTCCTGGCCTGGTGACTTTAGGCAAAGGCCTTAAATGCTGAGTTTCAGTTCCTTCCTCTGTAATTGAAGGGAACCGTGGCACGCACCGGGCAGGGGAGTTTTTAGAAGGACTCAATGAAGTCACGCCTGCAAAGTGCTTGACACGGAACCAGGCACCAAGGATGGGTTCCAGCCATGTCAGCCATCCCCGTCACTAGAGGTCCACTCGAGCCCCCCTGCTGTCCCTCCTAACCTCCCTCGAGGCAGGTGCCTGCTTGTGGGGCAGCCGGGGAGCAGCAGTACAATGACGGGGGCTCTTGCCCTCCGGCAACACCCAGCAGCACCCGTGTGCTTGGCATGTGTGTGGAGCAACGGCCCATGGGATAGGGTGGGGATGTGGACCGAGTCCCGCGCCCACCCATCTTGCAGCACAACCCTGAGAGGAAGGGATGTAGCATTCATCTCGGGGCCTCATCTTGACCACACGTGCGGACCAACACTGGCCGCCTCCAGGCTCCTCCCATCCCAGTCAGCTCCCCTGGTGTCTTGCCCACTGTCCCTGACAGCACCCAGCCACCCCCCGCCTGGCCTGGGCTGCCCTGCGGGAGGTGGAGGGTGCGACGGCTCGCTACCTCTGTGGACGGCTCCCGGGGCAGGCCAGCTCCGGTACCGCAGCACCACTCCGCCTGCCCGCCTCGCACGGCGCTGCCTCACCAGCAGCGTGTTGGTGTTGGGGCTGAAGGTCTCGCCAGACAGCCTGGTGCACGACTTCCTCCACGTGAGCCGGCCCCAAAGCAGCAGCGTCTCCCCTGGAAGCGGCAGTGTGGTGAGGCGCCAGCACCCAGGGCAGCAGGAGGTGGCTCCAGGGCGACTGACCCACGACGGAGTCCCGACTCTCCCGTTGCTGCCTCTCCCACTCACTAATCTCTCAGTTTCGTCATCCGTAAAATGGGGATCACCATGCCCCATCATGAGGGGGGCCGGCACGCTGCGGTCATGCTGGCGCCTGGCAGGGCCCATCACTGCAGCAGCGGCCTGTGTGGCCCTGGACATACCTGCGCTGCAGTTGAGGGAACTCTCGAGGATTTGGAGGGTCACCACCTCCCCCAGGGGCCGCCCGATGGCCACCGCACAGTCGGCCTGCCCCAAGCCTCGCATGTCAATGGTCCCGGCTGGCTCAAGGTGCTGCCCGCCGCAGGCACCTGGAAAGGCAGCAGGAGCACAGGTGAGCAGAGCATGCAGCTTCCCAGCAGGACGGCGCTGGGGCTTTCCGTGCTGAGGAAGGAGACTTGCGGCGTGGACCACATCCTCCTAGGCCCAGCTGGAAGCATTCTCAGGTCGGGGGCCTGCGTGGGTCAGAGGGTCGGCATCAAGCACAGAGCCGCGTGCAGATGCCCCAGCAGGGGGGCAGCGCGTAGGGCAGTGCATGGCTTTGGGTCACTCGGACACGGGTTTCCGACTCTGAAGCCTTCCAGTCACTTCACCTTGATGATGAGAGTGACTTTCCCTTTGCCAGGTAGGAAGTGGGCCAGCCCTGAGCCTGGCCTCCAAGGCACATCCCTTCAGCCCACTGCGTGCATCCCACGGGACCAAGTGCCTGTCCCAGCTCCCTCCGGCGGAGATGCCTTTGCCCGCCCCTCCCGCGGACAGCCTCCCGACAGAAAGGAGGAAGGAACGTAACTGGGCCACGCTGGGCTTTCCCGCCGACTGGGCAGGAGCCGCAGGGTCTGGGGAGCTGGGGAGAGGAGGTGGGCCTGGAGCTGGGGCCCCTCCAGGGAAGCAGCAGCAGCAGGACGTGGCACCATGGTCTGGCCCAGGGCAGCAGCTTCCCCACGGAGCGCTGAGCTGGGTGTCCCCACCGCTGCACAGGGCCCGGCCCAGCAGCCCCGAAGGGTCACTGGCTTGGGCAGATGCTGGCAGAAGTTTGCTGGCACAGGCGCCCCGGCTCGGGGTCCAAGGCAGGTGTCCTGCCGGCGCTGGATGCCATCCCCGCAGGAGACGGAGCACTGCAAGAGAGGGAAGGCGTCACGGTTGACCCTGCCGGAGGATGACCACAGGCCAGGCATGATCCCATGTGTAACCTTTGCACCACCTGGGAGGCAGGCAAGTGTCCCCATTCCACAGAGGCAGAAACTGAGGTTGAGAGGTAACCCTGCATGGGTCACCCTCTAACCGTCACCACTGAAGCCTCTCTGCCTCTCCTGGCCACAGCACAGAGGCCAGGCTCTCCGTGGTGGGACCCTCTCCTTCCACACTATCTGTCACTGCCCACCCAGCTCTCATCCCCATCGGGCCAGATGCCCAGGTCCTTGTGACAGAGGTGGGCGGTGGCCGCAGAGCAGGCCTCAGGGCTGCGGCTCGTCTCTGTCTGCTGCACCCCTGTGCCCCGCCCCACTGTGCGTGAGCCCCTCCAGCCACGCTTACCTCTGTCCAGGTGCTGACGTGCCACCGGTAGGCACAGTCATCAACAAGGCAGGGGACGCTGGCCTGGGGCCGCACCAGAGCTGCACAGGCCGCCTCGTCCACCTCCGTGTCCTGGCCTCGGTCCAGCTGCACGCAGGCCACCAAGCGCCTAGCAGTGCCGAGGCCACAGCTGGCTGAGCAGGGGCCAAGCGCCATGACTTTCCACCTGCAGGAGGAGACCCAGAGAGGCTCCCTGCCTAAGTGGCCTCAGACGGTGCCCGGGCCGGCCTCCGGCCCCCGTCCGCTCACAGGGCCGCTGGCACAGGATGCTTCCGAAAGGCTCTGCAGGAAAGAGACCGCTTTCCCCTTAGCTGGGGTCTCCCCTTCGTCCACTCTATCACATAGCACCTGCTGACACCCACAGAGCCACCTGGGTGCCCCAGGGTAACGGAAATCAGATCTGCCGCCAGAGAGTTGTAAAACCGTCAGTGCTGCTGAGGATCAGCTGTGGTCATTCCCTACGTAATAGTGCGGGCATTTGTCAGAGCCCTGCTGGAACCCAGGCTGGTGACACTTCCCTGCCCTCTTGCCCGTGCGGTGCTGTCTCTCAAAGCCGTGCCTTCTGTGGGCCTGGGCAGTGACCCGAACCAAGCCCACCCCTCTCGGCACCACTGACGTTTGGGACCGGGTGATTCTGTGTCACGGGGCTGTCCCGTGTAGGGTAGGGCATTCAGCGGCACCCAGCCTCTGCTCACTGGAGGCCAGGAGCAAGTCCCCCTCCCCAGTTGTGACAATTAAATTCTCTCCAGGAGCGGCCAGTGTCCCCGGGGAGGCAAAATCGCCCCTGGTTGAGAACCACTGCCCTAGAAGGAAGACAGAGAGAGGAACGAGGAAACAGCCGTGTGGCAATGACACGGGGACAACACAAGGAGCGGAGCCACGTTGCCCCCAGCCTGGGGAGGGGCCTCCAGAGAAGACCGCAGGCAGCAGGAAGCTAAGGCAGGAGGATCCCTGGAATGTTCCAGAGCAATGAGAAGGCCAGTGGCTACAGCAACGTCCAGGGGTATCCGGGGCTCATGTGCATACGTAATTCTCATAAAATCCCGCGTCACCTCTAAATATGACATGGAAAAATCAATGGGTGCCTAGCCAGGCACTTTAGCACGAGCAAAGAAATCAAGACACACTGTGCTCTGTATGTGACGCGGACTGCAGAGCTACAGAATGTCAACAATTCGACGTGGGGAGGGGACAGCTCGGGAAAAACCCGGAGTCTGGCAGAAAGCCGAGAGCTAGACTGCAGCGCACACCAGGGTCAGGCGCGACACGGGGTCCATCTGCGGGAAACGGGATCATCCAACAATCACTGCTAGTTAGCGATTTGGGAAGAAAACGTTTGGTCTCTGCTCTGAAATGTCTCCAGATAAGTCACAGATGAGTTAAGGGTTTAAATTTAAACGAACTGTTTTCTGTAGTGGTGGATTTATGTGAAACTTAGGAGACAGGAGGACACCTGGCAACGTAGTCCTAGCTATTGAATCTGGGTGGGGGGACATGGTGGAGGTTTCTGTACGATGCAGAAAAGCATTTCACAATCAAAACTGCAAAAAGAACCATGAAAGAATTGTGAAGGAGGTAGGAGAATACTCCCCCACGCTCTGGCCCCCACGGGCTCAAGCACTGTTCTGTGCTGTGTCCCTGCTGGGCCCCTCTCCCCGTGGCGAGAGCTGGCGCTCACACCCTCAGGCCCCGCGTGGCCCCCACAGCACACCCAGCCTGGGGGTGCTGGCACTTCCCCCTCACCTCACACAGCACAGCCTGCCACCTGTCCTGTTCCCGACAGGCTGTCACCTGGGCCGCTGAGCTGCCCTTTGGTCCCCGAAGCACGTGGCCTGGCATGGGTCCACCCCAGGAGTGCCCCTCCCGCCATGTCACCAGCCCACTCACCTGGGTGGGCAGGGCTCCAGGCTGCAGGCCTCCTGGGGCTCTGGGCGAGGCAGCCCCTGGCACTGGGCTTCTGGCAGGATCTCCTCGGCACTGTCCTCCCCCTGGGCCCGGGCACAATACAGGGTCCTCCGCACGACCCCGCCCCCACAGCTCACGCTGCAGGTTGCCAGCTTGTACCGCCACCTGGGGCAAACCGGAGTCAGGGCGGCCACACGGCTGCGGCCTGGGAACCCAGAGGAGCCAGGTCTCCCCTCATCTCCCCAGACCGGGAAGAGACAGGAGGCCAGGAAGGGCCAGAAGTTCTCCCTCTGAGGGTCCCCCTTACATCCCCACCGAGAGGCTCATCGCGGAGGACAAAGAGCATTCAGACAGATCCATTTTATAGACAGGGAAGCTGAGGGCCAGCAGCAGATGTGTCCAAGAGGCAGCGGGCGGAGGTCAGGGCGCCCACAGCCCCGCAGAGCTGTCTGCCCCTAGTAGGAGTCCCTGCAGCAGCAGCGCCCAGCCCTCCAGCCGCCTTCCGTCACACCAAACGCCACCCGTCAGACTGCGCGCCACCGTCTGTCTGATTTGTGGTCCATCCCCACCTTGCCCCCGACGTCAGCTCCAGAGGGCAGGGACATTTGTCTGCCCTGTCATCTGCTGTGTCCCCCAGCTGCAGAACAGCGCCTGGGCATAGGCGCTCGGTGAAGAGCAGGTGATGAGTAAATGCCCCATCAACCCCGTGGGCCCGGCAGCCCGCATCCCGTGCAACGCCCTTTACACGCAGGACCATCTCATTCAACCCACACGGCCTTCCGGGGGCACCACTCCTGCAGTGAGGACACAGGGTCAGGAGGATGGGCTTGGAGGTGAGGGCAGAGCCAGGGTGCAGACCTAGGACCACCTGGCAGGGCAGGGCTCTGGGCTGCAGTCCTCCAGGGGGGCGGGCTGGGGCAGTGGCCAGCACTTGGAGTGGGACAGGGGGACAGGGCAACACATAGCCAGTGGCACCCCCCCACCCTGCAGGTCACCAGGCACAGTGCTGAGGCCCGGTCTCCCACATGCAGGGGGAAGGCCAGTGGCCCATAGGAGGCTGCCCCGGAGGTCAGGCTGCCTCCCCTGCACAGCCCTGCTCCCCGCACTCACCGAGCAGGGCACGGGACAGCAAGGCAGACCTCCCGCCGGCTCCCGGGCTTGCTTGCCGGGTCACACAGCTCCTCCTGCACAGGCACCCTGAGGGTGGAGTCTGTGCACAGGACACGCAGCTCCATCAGGCCTGCAGGGAGGAAGCAGGGACCCCCACACCCCAAGAGATGGGCTCAGCAGACGGCAGGCGCCGGCTTGCTGGACAGCTCTAGCAGATAGGGCACGCGGGTTTGAGTCCACCTTGCAGAGTCATTCGAGATTTTAAAAGGGGAGATATGAAATGCCTGGCACATAGTAGGTGCTCAAGAAATGGTAGCTGCTATTGTTTATCGAGAGGCATTATAAGAATTATGATATGAAAATCTTTGACTGTGTTTATTACAGAGATGTGATTAGGACCAGTTTCCTCAAATCTCTCCTTTAGGAGTATTCTCAAAAGAAATCTCTTTCTGGTCTTTGTTCTAAACAGGCTGAAATTCTACTGAGCAAGTAGTTAGGGTTTTAGTTAAGAACACTCCGTGTCTTCTCACATGAGCCATTGGTGGCTACTATCAAATCACGGACAGCGAGTGTCCGCGAGGACGTGGAGAACTGGAGCCTCGCGTGCTGCGGCGGGAGTGCGAACGGCGCGGCCGCCGCAGGAAGTGTAGGGGTCCCTCAGCCCCTCCGACAGCGTGGAGCTACCGTGGGATCTGCTGGGCCACTTCGGGGTACATGCCCAAAGAACCATCCAACCCGAGAACGCCGGGCGAGCGAGAGCACTGAAAGCAGGACCTCAAACAGTGTTTGTGCACCGTGTTCACAGCGGCACTGCGCACGGCAGCCGAAACGCGGGCGCCACGCGTCCCTCCGTGAGTGGGCGGATAGCAAGCGTGCTGTGACACACACCTGCCACGGGATTTAGGAAGCTTTAAGGAGAAGGACAATCGGGCACGTGCCACAACATGGACCAACTCTGAGGACATTGTGCTCAGTGAAGTAAGGTAGACACGGAAGGACAGAGGCTGCAGGATTCCACTCGCGTGAGGTCCTCAGAGCCATCACCTTCGTTGAAACAGAAAGTGAAAGGGAGGGTGACAGGGGCTGGGAGATGGGGACGGGAGTCGGTGTTTCACGGGCACACGCATCAGTTTGGGAAGATGAGAAAGTTCTGGGAATGTGCTTAGTGCCACTGAGCGGTACCCTTGGAAGTGGAGAATGGAGATGGTAGCTTTTCTGATGTGTGTATTTTACCACAATAAAAAAATTGAAAAACACAAGGACACTACGTGTCTTAAAGCTAACGTGGTTTCTCCGCTCAGGTCGTCGGTTTGGGGCCCACCTCGCAGCTCTGCTGGGCCATCAGGAATACGCCCTCGGTGCCAACGCTGCCCGGTGTGACCGTGTTGTCCTATCTTTTCAGCCAGTCAATGGCCACATTTAAAGTGGCTGCCAGACACTTTGCCCCAGCCTCCTTGTATATTACCTCATGCTCTTATGGTGTTTGGATTTTAAGCCACTCAAATGCTTTTTAGAACTAGGCAAAATGCAGGTAGATAAGAGAGTTAACAGTGAGTGCTGGTCCTCCCTCACCTCGCCCGCAGGAGACGGAGCAGGGCCCCGCCAGAGGGGTCCACACGTGGGCAGCGCGAGCCTCCGGCCTGGCACTGCCCGATGGCGAGGGAGCCTCTTCCCCCGGAGAGTCGGCACCCAGCTGCAGGGAGGAAGCAATGAGTGGGGGTCCGGGATGCCCACTTCCAGACCCTGAGCACCCCCTCTCCTGATCTTTTCAGGAGGGAGCAGGAAGTGGTACCGGACTTGCCTCCTGGCCTTCGCCACACGCCCCACCTTGGCCCGTGCAGGCCCCGCATCAGCGCGCGTGCACCATGGGCTAGGGCAGAGGGCCGGTGGTCGGGACTGGGGTTTGCAAGCACGGGTGGCCCTGCAGTCCCCACCAGCCACACGGGGCGAGGGCTGGCCAGCACCCTGGCCTAAGAGCAAGGCTGGATTAATCTCTTCCTCAGATGCTTCCAGCAGGGTGTGTATTCCCTCAGCCTGGCTTGCACGGGAGCATCCCAAGAGCGCTCTGTCTCTGAGTTTACCCTCTGCCCGGGCTGGCCCTCAGACAGCAGCCTGCAGAAGGATGCCGTTCTACTCTGGCCTGCAGGACACTGGCAAACGGTGCCCCTCTTTCTCCCAGCCAGATAAGGACCCAACAGCCCGGCCACCCTCGTGCCAGGGCACTCACCTCAACAACAGGCGCCCTCTCTCCTGTGGAGCCGGGACCCGCGGTCACTGGAGCCTCCAAGCCATCCACCCCCTGCACACACGTCGCGTTCTTCGAGGCCAGGCCTGCTCCACCGGTCGATGAGCATGGGCCAGGGGCTGACGTCTCCCACCTGAGGACAGCACAGAACAGTCATCGGCCCTGCCACTGCCACCCAGCTGTAGGTGCAGCCCAGCTCCTAGGGGCAGGGAGGCAGTGAATCTGCCCCGCAATATCCAGGAGCCCAAAAAGGCAAAGCTCAGGGGTATTTCCCCAAGTGCTGGGTTAACTGCCTCGCTCATCGGCCTCCAGGCTCCACTCAGCAGCCCTGCGCTGGGCAGCCAGGCACCCGCCTGCACCCAGAGCAACGGGACAGCCCAGCCCCTGCCCTGCAGACGCAAAGGGACCTCCACCAGACGACCACAGGCTCCCGCACCACGGCGCTGCTAGCGGATTAGCAGGTGCCACGTGGAATCGATTCCGGGCCTGGGGATGGCAAATGGGTCTCAGACGTGTGTCAGCGGGGCTGGGGGGCTGCCTGCAGTGCCACACTCAGGATCCTGAGGCTACATCAGGCCTCAGCAGGAGAGAAGAGAGGGGTGTGCTGTGTCTGCGTGGACAAGAGAGCAGAAAGGGGCCCCGAGCCATGTGTGGGCCACCTGTGGTCTAACCCTCTCCCCACTGGACAGATGACAAGGCTGGAGCCCAGAGAGGGAGGGGACTTGCCCCAGTCACCCGGTCAATTAGTGGCAAGGCAAGGTCACAGCTGCTGTCAATCTGGACAATGAGGGGACAAGAGGTGGCCACCTGGACACCATGGAAAAGTTGGCAGTGGTGACAAAGTGACACCTACTGCTTTACATTGACGGCGTCACCTTGTCCTCATGCCCCGCCATGAGCAGGTCCTCGTCCCCATTTCACAGCAAGGGCTCAGAAGTTCAGAGAAGGAAACGACTGGCCCTGGTCTCCCGGCTGGCAGGCTATCCTGAAGCTGGCACTCAGAGCCCCCAGGCACCTCTGCCCCGCCACGGTGGCGGGGCCCAGCCAGGGGCCTCGGGAAGAGGAGACACTCAGGAGGGGTGGGGCTCAGGGCAGCACAGCCCTGCCAGGGCCCGCCCCACGCCGGCCAGCCCGTGCTCACCCGGTGGGGCAGGGCTGGGAGTTGCAGGGCTCCACCGCCGGGGCAGGCTGCTGGGCCGCTGCTCCGCACCGGGCCGGGGGCAAGGTCTTCAGGAGGCTGCCCTGGGCCTCCACGCAGCGCAGTGGCCGCTCCCGCAGGCCTCCCCCACAGGAGGCGCTGCACGGGCCGAAGGCACCAGCCAGCCAGCTGAGGAGGAGAGGGACAGGGCGTCAGGGCCCTTGCCAGGTCCCCAGGCTGGCTCGGGGGGTTGGGGGGAGGCAGGCAGGGCCGTCCAGCCAACTCTGGCTGGCACTCATCCCCCGGCCTGCGCTGGGCCCTGCGTCCCTCCAGGTGCGGGAACACCAAGCATGTAAGGCCGGCCCAGCCCCTCTAGGCATCCCTGGGCTGCCCTGACAGACACCTGAGCCCAAGGACACCTGTAGAATAGTGCTGGCTGGCGGCTGCCCCAGTCCTGTGCCCAATAAGGATGGCCTGTCCCTAACAGTTTGTCCCTGCTGGGTGACAGCGACGGCCAGAGCTTCCACCACGAGCTCCCCGAGGCTTTCACACCCCCCCCCCGGGGGGCAGGCATCTCCCTCTTTTGACGAGCACCTGAGCTCAAGGGAGGCCGCGGGCTGTCCAGACAAGGTGACATCAGGGATGGGTCACACTGGGCTGACACTGGCACCCTGTCTACCCTGGGTCTCAGTGTCCTCACCTGCAAAACGGGGGCACTCACAGAGCCCCCCTCCCAGGGTCATCAGGACGAGGAACAGCACCTACAGAAGCTGCTCGGCCCAGCCCGCACCCAGGGGCCACGCTGCGGCGAGAGCCAGGAGCCCCAGCAGGCACTCCCCACCCTGGGAGCTGCAAAGGCAGCACCGCACTCACTACGGGGGGCAGGGCGCAGGGACACAGGCCTCTGGCCACGCCGGCGGCCGCGGGCTCCCTTGGCACCGGGCAGCCTCCACCTGCTCCTTCCTGGCCTGGTCCAGGCAGCTGTAGGTCACCCAGCGCAGCCCTGGGAGGGGAGAGGGGGCTAGGCCACCTCCGTGCAGGGGCAAGCCATGCCACGGGCCAGCCTTCCCCAGGCCTCACCTGCCCCACAGCTCACCGAGCAGGGCCCGCGCACGGCGGCCCACGCCCAGGCCTGCTGCAGCTTAGGCTGAAAGTAGGTGAAGGTGATGTCTGGGCGGGTGAGGTCACCATACTCATCGCTGTACCGCCTGTAAACCTGCATGGACAGACGGAGAGCTCCGAGCCTCGTCCAGTGGGCTCCCTGAGGGTCATTGTCACAGCCACCTCCCCCATGAAGCCCCCGGGCTTTCATTCCCCCATCCCTATATTCTTCTGCTCAATAGGCGGTCACCGGCACTGACGGCGCCAGGCTCTGGGGACAGCAGTGGACAGGACACTGAGCCTCAAGGAATTCTCAATGGATTGGGGTGGGGGTAGGTGACAGATAATGACACAGCAATTGGTAGGTTAGGGGACAGGGTATTTGGGGAGCATGGAGAAGTATCCCTAAGTTGACCAGGGTGGCGGACGAGTGGCAGTGGAGGTCAGGAGGTCCTGCAGGCAAAGGGCAGAGGCTGGGGTGTCCTAGCAAGGGGCCCCCGCGAGGGTCTGGGGGTGAGACAGCACAGATGAGCTTCTGGAGAGGAGCTGAAGCCCGTGAGGTCAGCAGGAGGGGACTGGATCCCCGGGGCCTCATGGCCTGGGCTCGGCCCTGAGAACACTGGGAGGTTTCAGCAGGCGCCTGGGCCTGTTCGCACTTCAGGAGGGTAACTGGGTTCTGTGCCCAAGGCCAGCCCAAGAAGGGGCCAGCCTAGAGGCCAGAGCCCAGTGCAAGGTGACATTCAGCACCTGTCCCCACAATGGCCACATCTGGCCACCCACCACAGGCCTCTGTTTGTTAAAATAGGGCTTCTCCGGCTCCCCCGGGGAAGGCCCGATTCAGTGGATCTGCAGAGGGGCCGGTTCTTTAACACACGCTGCAGCCGGCATCCGGAGACTGCGTCCCGGGCACGGGGAACGGGGTGAACTGAGCCGTATGGGAAGGTGGCGGCTTGCTCTGGCCTGGCCCGCACCGCCTGGGGGCCCTGCTGCCTCCGCCAGCTGTGGGGGCAGAGGGTGCTGCTAGGTCGTTGTCGGCAGGGGCCGTGAGGGCCCCTCTCCAGATGTTCTCAGGACAACATCAGCCTACGCCGACTTCTGTCTGCCCTGCAAGTGTGTCCTCAGCAAAGCGCACGTGGGGACACACCCAGGTGCGTACACGTCACTGAGGACACACCAGGCGAAGCCTTCCTGGCTTCCCAGGTGGGAAGCAGTAGGTCTGCACAGAGGCCTGCTCTTGCACCCACGGCCCAGGCGCCCGCTCCCCACCCTGCGCACAACCGCGGGGGTAGGACCCTCCTGGTCACCCCTCCCGGCCGATGCTGCTCCCGGGGCCCCCTCTCACCCGCCCACACTCCAGGGCCCGCTCCCACGGGCTCTGGGCACAGGCGCCGTTTTCTATTGATTTGCGGGACTCTACGCGCCGCGGGGAGCTCAGCGCGGCACTGCGCCTGTCTCAGGGCCCACCACGGAAATGACCCTGAGTGAGCGAATGAGTCAGGGCGTGAGCAGATGGACAAGCCAACAGTCACAGTCACCAGGAGGGCCCCCCGCCAGCCTCCCCCAGCCCTCTGGTGACCTGGATCTCGATGGCCTCCAGGAGGGGTCCCTGAATGCGGATCTCCTCGAGGCGGGGCAGCCGGTCCTCGGTGAGGGCCACGGTGTACTCAACGCGGCTGTCCTCCAGGAGGGAGGGGTAGGTGGTGCTGGGGGAGATGCTCGTCTTCCCGGCCACGACGTAGTGCCCGCCGATCCTCACTGCTGCGAGGGAACGGCCATAAGTCCCGTGCATCGGGGCGCCAACCCTCCTCATACCTGCAGGAGGTGGGCGCCACCCGTTCACAGAGGAGTCCCGGGCTAAGGCAGGGGTGGAGTTGACACCAGGGCCGGGGCGAGGAGGGCCTTCCATGGACAGGACAGAACCCCCACGGCCAGGTCCACGACTCTCCTCCCCAGGGCCCCTGTCCTGGGAGCCGCACGCATCTGACCCCAGAAGACGTCCCACAGCACGGCCTGCACCTCTTTCTAGAACCCAGTGAGGGCCAGGACCTGCTCCCCCGCCAGACACATTCCCATACAGAACTGACAGATGCATTCGGGGCTCCAGGACCCCTGGGCGAGCATCCCCAACCCAGGATACAAAGATCAGGCGTGGGCACTGTAGAAATGCCGCCCCGCTGCGGCCGTGCCCAGAGAGAGGCCTGGTCTTTGCTGCTGGCCTCTGAGAGGGAACACAGGTCACAGCAGAAAGAATGTCTTTGCTCCATGCCAGAAAGGCTGAGCATGTGGTTCAGGACGTGGGCTTTGGGTCACCTAGAGGCTGAGATTATGCACACGCGCCACCGACCCGTCAATCCATCCGTCAATAACGCCTGCGTAATGGAGCCCAGTGAAGACTCTGAACGCCAGCCCGGTGACCGTCCTGGGCCAGCAGAGCCCCGTGTGCGTGGCCACCCGCTGCTGTCAGAAGGGTACCCCGTCCCCAAGACCCTCCCAGATGCCGCCCCAGGTGTCTCTTCCCTTGGGTGACTGTGACCCGCACCCTTCCTCTGCAGTAGGCGCGACCACCAGCCAACAGCGCCCAGTCAGCTCAGGAGTCGCCCAGTCGGTGACCAACCAGGCAGGGTGAGAGATGAGGGCACCCAGGGACCGTCCCTCCGCCTTCACCGTCAGGCTGGCTGGGGGGGACAGCCTCACTCGGCTCACCCAAGTGCGAGAAGAGAGGCCTGCGGTTGGCGACGTACACGCTGGTCAGGCCGGGCGTGACCGTCAGGAAGGTGACGTATTCTAGAAAGAGGCACGGGAAGGATGCGTGGGTCTCACGGTCCCCACATCGCAGCCACAGGGGGCTTCCCGCAGCTGGACAGGGGACAGATGACAATGCCACGGGGCTGCCTCTGGCGCAGGGAGGCCCCTGTCACAGAGGACGGTCAAAACCAGGCTGTGGGGCCACCTGCCGGGTTCTCCAGCACAGCGGGGCGCGCCAGAGGGGCAGGCTCGGGTCCTCTGCTGACCCTGGAAGCACTGCCATCTGCAAAGAACTTCCGACCTCTTGCAAGTAAATCCAAGTCGAGGGTTGTGCACAGACCGCACAAGGCCCACGGTGTTCCTGCGTCGCAGCTACAGGGAGCGACTGTCACCCAGGCACTGTCACCAAGATCAGCCTGCCACCGAAGGGTGGCAGAGCGCAGGAAGCAGAGGCTGAGCAAGCGCTCGGGCCCTGCGGCCTGAGTGGGCTGGGGGGCCCTACCTCTGGCTCTCCCGGCCGTGAAAGAGCCGTTCCGTGGGCTGCAGGTGCTGTTGTCGCCTCCACACACCTGGCACGCATCCCACGCCCGCTGCGAGTCCATCCTGCCATCGCAGCCAAATGCCTGTGCAGGGGGAGGGGCAGAGGGCCATGTCCCTGGAGGGCGCTGGCCTCAGTGAAGGCTCTGGGATACACACAACCACCTGGCAACACGTCTGCAGCACCCGACACCCACGCAGAACGTGAGCTTAGCGGGCTCCAGTGACTTCCCAGGTCACGGTGTGGCCCTTAGCCAGGCTGACTCCGGGTCCGGCCCGTGTGCCCTGCACCACGCCCCAGCAGACCGTACTGCACTGCAGCTCCGCCAGGGCTGGCACCCCCCTCACCTGCCCCCAGGAGCCTTCCCACGGGACAGGCAGGGCTTGGGGCCACCTCCGCCGCCCACACACGCCTACCCTGCAGCTGCCCGACACGCACAGGCTCAGCACCCCGTCCTCCCGAGGGCTGCTGGGCACACACCGCGTCCCGTCCAGGAAGCTGTCTCCACGTCTCATGATGAAGCTCTCACCAATGGCCCAGCACATGTGTCTGCACAGAGCGTCCCCTGACGGGACAGAGTAGACGAGAATTCCTGAAGACAGGAAGGGGACAGGGCGGGCCAAGAAGCCGCCACGGACCCTGCTCGGCTAGCCCTGCCCCGCCTGGCCCAAGTGGGCCCTCACCCCCCCCAGCCCCCTTCACCCTTTGCATGTGGGGCAGGGGTTTCCGTCCCCCCGCCCCTGTCCTGCCTCCTGCGGCAGTAATCAGAATCACAACCTCGTAACTAACGGCACTGACTTATGAGCCCAGCAAGGCCCTCGGCACTTCTCCTGCATCAGCCCCCTGAATCCTTCTAGCTGCCCAGGAGGGAGATACCGCTACCATTTCCACTGCACAGACGGGAAAACCGAGGCTCAGAGATGGGACGTCACTGCCGCAGTAGCGGGACGTCCATGGTCCGCAGGACGCCAGAGCCCAAGCCCAGGCCCTGCTCGGACCAGCACCAGAGTGACAGGCCGACCCCCAGCGGCTCTGCGTGCCCGAGGGTCCCCCAGGCCCCACCTTGGCTGTGCTGGGCGGCGGCGCCCCAGCGGTAGAAGGAGGCGCCGCCCGCGGGGAGGTGCAGCGGCTGGGCGTCGGTCTCGGCGCACTGCTCCGACATGAACTCCTGCTGGCTCTTCTCGCAGGCCTGGCCGGGAGGAGGCAGAGGACAGGCACAGGAGGGGGCCAGGGCAGGGGGTCCTTGTCCCTGGGAGACCCCACAGTGCCGGAGTCAAGGCGTGGGTGTGGCCTCAGCTCGGGGCTGTGCCTCAGTTCCCTGCTCCGTGAACTGGGGTGACAAGAGTGCCAGCCTCTCGCTGACGGGGAAGCCGCAGAGTTTGTAAAGGACACACGGCAGTGAGGAAGAGCACGGCTCTCGGAACCACTGGTGCCCGGCCCCGCGCTTGAGGAAACGGGGAGATCGTGTTACTCGCTGAGCGGGTGTGTTGTTTAGAGAAACTGCGGACGGTCAGGGACACGGGGCTTTGCCAGCAGAGCCTGTGCGGCCTGGCAGGCGCCTGGGCCGTTGTGCCCTGGAGAGATGATCGGAGTCGACCCACTGGGCCGCAACACCGACCATGGCTGCCCTCCACGGAGTCCTGCCACCCCATGTCCCGGTCGAAGAGCCTCCTCTGGAGGCCCGGGGAGGCCTTGTGTCTGCCTGCCGGGTCTCACCACGTGCAGAGCCGTCCCACAACCAGGGCCAGCCCGAACCCAGGGCCACGCACAGCAGGAGGCAGATTTTAACTCAATGTGAAAAAGCGCCTCACGCCAGTGGAGTAGCCGGAATCAAAACATGCAAAGCCGCAAGCGCTGGGGGGTTAGAGGAGAGGCCGGAACCCTCGTGCGTCACTGGTGGAAACGCAAATGGCTCAGGCGCTGAAGAAAATGGTTTGCTGGTTCCTTAAAAAGTTCAAGATAGGCCGGGCGTGGTGGCTCACGCCTGTAATCCTAGCACTCTGGGGGGCCGAGGCGGGTGGATTGTTTGAGCTCAGGAGTTCGAGACTAGCCTGAGCAAGGTGAGACCCCATCTCTACCAAAACTAGAAAGAAATTAATTGGACGGCTAAAAATATATAGAAAAAAAAAACAATTAGCCGGGCATGGTGGCGCATGCCCGTAGTCCCAGCTACTCGGGAGGCTGAGGCAGTAGGATTGCTCGAGCCCAGGAGTGTGAGGTTGCTGTGAGCTAGGCTAATGCCATGGCACTCTAGCCCAGGCAACAGAGTGAGACTCTGTCTCAAAAAAAAAAAAAAAAGTTCAAGATAGAATTACCAGAGGGTCCAGCAATTCCACTCTTAGCTACATTGCCAAAGAACTGAAAACAGGGACTCAGACAAGGACGCGTGCAAGCGCGTTCACAGCAGCACCGCTCACGCCTCCTGGCGCACTCTGCCTCCCAGCAGCTAACAGTGAAAGGCCCCAGCGCCCCTCAGCAGGTGTACGGATGAGCAGGGTGAGGTCCCTCGTGCAGCAGAATGTCATTCGGCCACACAAAGCAGTGAGGCCCTGACACAGGCCGCAACGCGGGTGAGCTTGGAGAACACTCTGCTACGACAGAAACGCCAGACACCAAGGCCACGTGCTGTGCAGCTCCCCCTACACGCAGTACCCCAGCAGGCAAAGCCATGGACAGAGAGAGGTGTGGCGACCGCCGGGGGCAGGGCGGGGGAGACTGGGGCGTGACGGCTTATGGGATGGGGTTTTGCCTGGAGTGATGGAAATGTTTTGGAACCAGACGGACGTGGTGGTCGTGCAACATGGTGAAAGTACTAAATGCCACTGAATCACCCACTTTAAACCGGTCGATCTTACGCTACGTGAATTTCATCTTAGCGTATAAATAAAAGAATCCTGCGCGGTTGCCCAGTGGTGCCCAGTGCTCCAGAGGGACCAGTCTCGTTGCAGAGATGTGCTCTGGGGGGCGAAATGGCACTGGGGGGGGCGGGGGAGGAGGGACCCTGCAGGGTCTCCGCGTCCTAAGTGGGACCATCCTGGTTAAGACACTGTGGTCTCAATGTCCCTCTCAGTGTTCCTGGCGTGAGCCCCAGATGTCACCTGGGCCCTTTGGCTCCTCCAGGGCCCAGCGCAGCCAGCTGCCCCCGCCCGCCCCACCCCGTCCTGGGAAGCAGGCCTACCTGGGTGTTGCACATCTCTGCCTGGAGGTCAGCACCGACGCACGCACGCCCCCCAAAGGCAGGTCTGAGAATGCCCACAAGACAGGAGAGTAAGAGGTGACCACTGCCCCCAACCAGGCAATAGGGTGCAGCCACCCTCCCTGACCAAAGAACAGCACCCCCCAAACGCTACCTGGGGTTATTGCACCGTCGCCTCCGGGTGACCACACCTCCTCCACAGGAGCGGGAGCAAGGACTTAGGGGGCCCCAGCTAGACCAGTGCCCGTGCACTGCCACCACGGGGGGCAGCTCAGGCAGGGAGAGGCAGCGGCCCCTGGAGCACCACTGCAAGGCAAGGATGGCGGCGTCGCCCACCCACAGGGACCTGCCGGCCCACTCGGCGACCCCATCCACAGGGACCCCAGCACACGGGGACCCCCTACACACACACAGGGACCCCCATAGGGACCTCCAATACACACAGGGACCCCCAGCACACACAGAGCCCCCAACACAGAGGGACCCCACCCATTGGGACCCCACATCCACAGGCGTCCCCATGCACACAAGCACCCCACAAGCCCCGTTCTCCTTGGGAGCAAAGGGTATGGCAGAGGTCAGATCACCAACCCAAAGGACAGAGGGAGGGTCTAGCGAGGCCTGGGTGGAGGGAGGGGGACCCTGCCCTGGGCTAGAGCGGGAGAGTGAGGCAGGAAGACAGCATAGGCAACAGGAGGGCTCTGGCCACACTGTCACTTGCAAAAAACCCTCTCTGCAAAATGGGAGTGACAACGAAACCCCTACTTCCAGGGCTGGGGGAGAAGGAAACGGAGATGTAGCAGGGCGCCTGGGAGCGGGCGGTCAATTAACACCGACCCGGGAACAGCGTGGGGCTCCGGGTCCGGCAGGCGGGTCCCCCTCCCACCTGCCGCAGACTCAGAGCAGGCCCTGACTCAGTGACTGTCCTGCCAACCCAGAGGAACCCCCACTTCCAAGCCCTGGAGAGGGGTGGGGTGACTGCAGTCAGCGCGGGGGCACCCTGCTGCCGCCTCTTCTACCCCGACCGGGAGTCACCGGGGGTCCCCCCCACCCCCTCACTTACTACCTACTCTTGCCCCAGGAGTAAGGCAGCCGGGCTAGAGGCGCCCACGTGAAGGCACGTGAGTGTGCACCTCTGACACACACACGCACACACACACGCACACACACACGCACACACGCACATGCACGCGCGAGCTCACTCCGTCTTTGCTCTGACCTTCCCCACGCCACACTCTGTCCCATCCAGGAGGGGGATGAGGCGGCGGCTACAGCTGCTCTGGTCCAGCGGGTCTGTGTGGCAGGAGAGAGCCTGGCACACGTCCTAAGAGGAGGGACGGTGGCCAGCTCAGGGCCACCAGGGCCTGTCAGGCCAGTGTCCAGCCCTAACTGTCCCTCCAGACCACAGGACATACGGACACAGCCAGTACACTCTACGTGGGCGCCGGCGGCCCGGGAGGACAAGGCGCGGCTGACCCGTCCACCAGGAACAGGGACTCCAACCAGACCTTCAGGGGCCCATGGAAATGTTTTAATTGCTCTTAAAATCAGAAGAAAAAAACAACTTCTAGGTCAAAATTAATGTCTAATATATATATAATACTAATAGGCTTGTATTTATAATAACATGTAAAAGTTTCTGCATTTTATAAAAATATAATACCAAAATCTAATCTTTAGTTGTTTTGTGGAGGGAGGGGCCACCGAGGCAAAAGTGCCTGCAGCCCACGAAGGGCCTGTGCAGCCCTGGGACGAAGTCTGTCTTTGGGGCTCCAGCCACACTCCTGCTCTGGATTCCCTTGGGAGGCCACTTCCTCCAGGGAGGCCTCCATGCTGACTCCAGCCCCAGTGGTGGGAAGCCCTTGGCGGCTGTTTGGGATGGCGCCCTTGCTCAGCCAGGAGACCGCGGGCACAGAGGCCCTGCCAGGACCAGCCGCATCATTTGTGGGGCCCAGTCAAACAAAAATGTGGAAGATTTTGTTCAAACTTTTTTAAGAATTTGGAGAGGTGAGGGACAGCATTAAACCAAGCTGACCCCGGCTATGCCGCTGCCACCCCTGGCACTCAGTAGGTCCTCACAGGAGGGGACATGAGCTGGGCAGTGCTGACCAACCAGATGGCCAATCCCGCGCCACCGCCACCCGCAGGCAGACTCACGAGGTCCTCCCTGGCGAAGGTGCAGGCCACAGCCGCGGGGCCGAAGGCAACATGGCACTGCTCGTCAGCGCTGTAGTAGAGGCCGGGCAGCGCCTTCCCCAGCTGCCTCTCGGGTCCCGGTCCGGGTCCAGGCTGCGGCCGTGGCGGGTCCCACAAGCAGTGCGCCCGTCCTGTGCTGGACAAGGCCCTGCCTCAGGCCCCACAGGGACACCGTTAGGCGGGATGGAGCAGTGGGCGCGGGAGGTGTGGGCATTTGGAGAGGTGGCCTCTTGGATGGGGGCACATCCCCCACCAGAAGCCGGCCCTGGGCCCTGGGTGGGTGTGGAGGGGATGGAGGGAGGAATCCGAGGGGATGGAGCAGATGGAGGTGGGGGGACGGGGAGGGCAGAAGAGGGTAAGGGCGGTGGATGTCAGCCGGTGTGGGGCTGGAGGGATGGGTCTGAGGCAAGGGTGGGAGTGGACCCAGGTGGGGGCAGCTCAAGGGTCGGGGCGAATTGAGGGGTGGACACAGGAACGGGGTGGGACGGAGTAGTGGGTGCAGGGAAGTGGGAAAGAATGAGGGGTGGGTGCAGGGCTGGGATGGGAGTGGATGGAGGGGTGGGAGAAGAGGGGCTGAGAAGGGGAGGTGGGGGAGGATGCAGTGGTGGGAAAAAGGAGGGGGTGGGAGGATGGAGTGGTGGGCGCAGGGGCCTGGGGTGTGAGGGAGGGTTGTGAGGGAGGGGTGGGACACGGAGAGGTGGGTCCCGGGCGCAGTCAGCGTTGGGGCGGGCGGAGTGGAGAGGGGGCAGGAGGGGGGAGCTGAGGGGCACCCGGCGCTACCTGAGCAGGTCCTGCAGCTGCCAGCGGCTGCAGGGGGACCAGGCGAGGCCCACGTGGCCTTGCGCGGAGCCATCGGACGCCATCACGTGGCCGCCGGGGCCGCAGCCGCTGCCGGGCACGCCATCGTGCTCCAGGCCCAAGCTGCGGGGGAGGTGGTGCTGAGCGGCGGGCGGGGGTCGTGCCAGGCTGCCCTGGGGCCGCGGGCCCGCTTGTTTTCCCACCCGGTCCATCCCTGATGAGGCCACCAGCTAACCAGGTGCAGCAGAGCAAGTCGTAGCCGCCTGCCTCAGTTTCCTGCCTGGGCTGTTGGGCTGGCCCTGCAGAGTGGCTGCCACCTCTTTTGGCTAATAAATATCAAAAGCCTTTTGAAACGTGCAAGCCAGATTAGCCCACGGTATTGTAAGTCTGGGGGCACGATGGGGACTGGGATGGGGGCTGTTTACGTGGGTGAGTTCAGTGTGTGAAAATTCGTGGGCTGCGTGGAGAGTATAGTCTAAAAGTTTGAGAAAACGTGCGGGCCCTTGGCCGCCATTAGCATTCCTAGGTGGTGGAAGGTGATGGTTTCGAACCACAGCAGAGCTTTTTGAGCCCCAGCAGAACTGACGGGGGTTTCTAGGGGGTGGGCTAGGGGAGAGCCCCGGGAATCCTACCCACGGCTCAGGATGCTCGGTGCCAAACGAGGACGGAAACTTTCACTTTTTACTTTAGAAGTCTCTGTACTGTTTGAATTTTTACTACAATTGGAAATTATTTTCATAATTAAAAAACTAAAAATCAAAAAGAAAAGAAATCTACCACTCTCGGCAAATGAATAGTTAGGCGCAAAGGTTTGCCCACAAGAATTCACAATGTTCATAACAGGAAAAATCTGGAAACAACCTAAACATCCAACGGGAGGAGATTAATTGAATAAATTACGGTGCACACTGAAAAATGTGACAGACCTGGAAGCAGCGCTTGGGATGTACCATTACGTGGCAAAGCAGGTAACAAAGCAATGTACACCATGACCCTGATTTCGCAAACGAGAAACTGTGTGTGTGTAAAGAAAAACTGAAATTAAATAAAAAAATGTGAAGAGACATTACCTCTAAGTGGTGGGATTTGAGATAATTTTTATAGCCTGCTTTTTCTTGAGCTGAATTTTCTACAAAAATTATTTTCTAATTGCTTCATTTGTTTTGCTTATTTTCTAGGGAAAAATGTCTCTTTTAATCACTCAGCGATCGAGAAGGACCAGATACCCCGTCCTCACCCCCCACACACTTCCCACTCCGCCGGGGCCGAGGTGGGGGCTCCTCCGTCAGGCTCGCCAAGACCCCCTGCCTGCCCCAGTCCCGGCCAGGGGCAGCTCCTCGGCCAGAGCCTGGGGACAGCGGATGGGGCTGCGTACCTGTGCCCAATCTCGTGGGCGATGGTGACCCCCAGGTCGAAGCCGGTGTCCTCAGTGATGAGGCAGCTCCAGGAGGGGGAGCAGGCGCCCCCCAGCTGGGTGACTCCCCGCACCTGCCGGTTACCATCAGGCAGCTCCAGGTCAAACCTCAGCAAGAGAAAACTGTCACCTGAGTGGTGCAAAGGTGCTTGCCCGCCCCGGGTCACCTCTGCCGAGGGCGGGAAGGCCGAGGGTGCAGCCTTCCCAGGCCGGCCAGACGCTGTCAGACAGCTCAGCTACCTGGTGATGTAGAGCACCAGGTCTGCATGCCCGGGATCTGCGTCGTCCTCGGGGTTGATGGTCCGGCTCCACGCACAGACGCTCAGCAGTGACGAGGTGACGTTGGCTGTGATGTTGGGGGCATCCTGGGGGTTGATAACAGGCCTGTGTTTGGAGGACCCCCGCCAAGCGTGGCACTGACTGCTGTCGGTACACTTCTCAGTGAGTCTTTATAACAACCCTATTACCATCCCATGTTACAGATGAGGAAACTGAGGCTCGGAGAAGTACAGCCAGGCAGCCATGCAGAATGAAGGCTGGGCATAGCTGGGGCTGGAGCCTGGGCCCATCTGGCTGAACGCCCTGCCCTGACCCGGGCACCGCTGGGGCATCCACAGGAAGGGGTCAGAGCGGACAGAGAGGTGGGCTTCAGCTCTGTGGGGTGCTGAAGTCCAGCTTGGAGCCTACCTCGGGCTCCGTGAGGATGACCATCTTCACCAGGTGCACTCGGAACTGAGCCCCCAGGGACGGGTCCCGCAGCAGTTCCGACCCCTGTGGAAGGGCAGACAGAGAGAGGTGACCCGCCGGGGGGTATGGCCAGCCCAGGCCGCTGCTGATTTGCAGGGGCCCTGGGATGGGGGTGGGGCTGGAAAGGATGCTCCATCCGCATGTGGGCAGGCACCCAAATGCTAGCCGCTGGGCCAGGAGCCAGCAAGAGTCAGGTGCCCAGGTCCTCCCAGCTCATGGCTCAGGAAGAACTAACAAAGACAAGAAACCGCAAACAAGGGGACAGGAGCACACACAGTCGTCACTGGTCTGGAAAGCTCCATCCGACCGTGCTTCTCTGGGATGTATTCACCCTCGCCTCTCCCGGCTCCGCCCCTCTGCCTGGACGCTTTATTCCACCCCCGCCCACCGAATCGTACCCGTGTCCACGGAGGGACAAGGGTGACCTCCTCCCACCTTGAGCCCTTCCTGGCACCTCGTGAGAAGGGCTCTCTCCTCCCTCTCCAGCTCCCAGCTCTCTTAGGGCATCTCTCAAGATGCCGACGTGGTCGGCTTGTGTGGCATCAGCGTGTCCTCTAAATTACACACGGCACCCGAGTGACGGCATGTGGCCTGACGCTGGCACCAGCTGCTGGGTTGGAATCCACGCTCTGCCGCGTCCTCGCTGTCTGTTCGGAGCCCTAACTGGCCTCTGAGCCTCGGTTTCCTCCTCTGTCAAATGCAGATAAAGCCTTTCCTGGTTGTCATCATGCTTAGGAACAATGTAGCTGCGAAGGACCTGCACGGCTTAGTGCCCGTGATGACATGGCCACGGCCACCACGGGCACCACGTGGGCGGGACCAGAGGGAGCACGGCTCGATTACGGAATTTCAGCATCCGAGAATCGGAGGGGGGACCCCAAAGCTTGAAAACAACAGTTTTCAAATGACTTAGAGGGGATATTTTTCAAAGACAAGAGAAAACATCGCCTTCAGGGCTTGTAGGTAGAAACCTAAGCCGTCTCCTTCCGGGCTGGGGCAGAGACTGCGCACAGGAGGGACCCAGGCTCCCCGCAGGGTGGGGGCACGGCGAGGGTGGGAAGGCCCCAGCTCCGAGACTGGTGAGGTGCAGTGGGGAACTTTTCCTTTTATCCAAAATCCATCACCAGACCTGAGGCTGGGGACAAAGTGGTACTGGGTACCCCGCATTCTCGGGGGACCTGCCTATGGCTGGGGCCAGATACACCCTCCAAGGCAACTTGCCGAGAGGCGGTGCTGCCGGCTGTGCCGCCCACTGCACGTCCTGATGCCTGTCCCCATCTCCGGAGCAGACCAAGGGGACAGGGCTGGGGCCTGGAGCCATTGGCTGAGACTAATTTCCTAACTGTTCGTAAAATCCAGTTAGCCGAAATTTTTTGAAAGTTTTCAGTGAACGAACTTTGTGATTTTCTTCTTGTCATGGCTAGCTGCCTTGTGCCGTGGCCGAGGCGTGTGATCTGCATGGTGCTACCTCCTTGGCACCCACGGAAATGCCCCCAGCCTGGAGCACGCTCGTTTTCCGTGTGCGACGTGTGTTCTCCCGTCGTCGGGCGCAGCCTTGCGTGCAGACTGCTAGACTAAGACTACGTTGTTGAAGTCACCTCTGCCTCTGCTGGCTTTCCTGTCACTCCGACGTGACGTTAGCAGAACAGCGCTCTCCTGCCACCCTCACCCCAACTCCCAGTGAAGAGGAGGCCACAGGGCTGGGTAACCAAGAGACAGGGAGATGGCATGTCCTTTGCCAGCGGTGTCTGTTTAGACTTCGAACTGGTCGATCTGCCCTGTGCCCCCCAGGAGGGGACAAGAGGACTGAGAGAGGGCAGGCTGGGGCGCCAAGGGAGCGTGGGTAGCCTGCACGCCCTGCTGGTCGGGGCAGGGATGGCTGGGCTCACTGTGGCCAAATGGACACTGGGGAAGCGGCTGGGCTCGGGGGGCCCAGGTGAAGGGACCTGGATAGTGAGGGGCTAAGAAGTGTGCTCTGGAGCTGAGAGGGGTGCCCAGAACTCACCCACCTCCCCGCCAGGGAGGAAGGAAACAGCAGACGACACCGCTCCCCTTCTCTCCCCAGCCCTGTGCTCCAAGCCGTATAACTGAGTTTACCCTGCTGAGCTCAGATTGCCACTGGCACTTGGTCCCCCGCCCTGGCTGCGGGGCACTGTGTCCAGAGGTTCATGAGCACAGCCCGCAGCCCTGCCAGAGACCCTGCGTGCACGGCCCCGCGCGGGCCAGCACCGTCCCCAGGGGTCACCCCCGCCGGGGCACTCACAATGTTGAGGTTGGTGAGCACGTAGCGCTCCGTGTCCTCCTGGTGAGCCTGGTGCACGTCGGGGCCCACGGCCACCAGCAGCTCCAGGTGCAGGATGCCTCCCGCAGCCCGACTCTCTCTCCGGAGGCCTAGAGGGGGGTGGGGCGGAGGGCAGACGTTCTAGAAAGCTGGTACTGGCCAGCTAACGGAGGGAGGCGGGCGGGTCTTGGGAGGACGGCCTTCCGAAGCCAAGATGTTTCCCCCCACCCGAGGTGGGATCCCGTTAGTGACCGGGCGTTTGAGGCCTCCAGACAGGCAAGGCCTGGGAGGGGCTGTTGGGCTGCGGTCCTGCAGGTCACCCAGTCCAGGCCAGCCTGCCCCTGCCCTTGTGGCTCTGTCGAAAGCCCAAGCCCCTGCCCTGGCTCCCAGACCCCCCATCTGGGCACCGGTGTTTCATGAGTAACATCAGGAGCCCCGACAGGAGAGCGAGCACAGGGGGCCTCTGCGGTCTCTGTGGCAAGCAGGGCCCAGCTGTCCCCACTGTCCTCCTCCCAAGGGAGCCCGAGGGCTCTGGGCCCCCAGGTGATGTTCTTCTGGCCTTCCCGGAGGGGCACAGCAGGAAGCACCCGGGCCAGGGACGCACAGTACACAGGTGCCCGCCCCCACAGTCAGTGTGCGTCTGGCCCAGACCACGGAGAGCCGGTCCCCAGTGGGACGTCCTCTGGGTCTCTCCACCCTGCCCCTGGCCCCACTAGCCTTTTGATCGAAGTAACTGAGGGGCCTGCTGGGCAAAGGCTAGCCGAGCCACCGGGGACCACGGGGGCTGCAGAGGGCGCCTGGTCCAAGGCCTATCTCGTTTCCCACAGAAGGAATAAATATTTATATCCATGGCCAGAAACCACAAGAGTGCCTGAAAACCGGCCAGCCCAGCAGAAGCCACAGGGCAGAAGGGTCCAGCCAATCCTCGACCATTCCCTTGAGACATTGAACAGACTCCTGGGCCAGAACCCCAGCTTGGCCGGACACCAGGCCAGCTTTTATCTCCCTGGCAGGAAGCAAGGGAGTTAATTAACAGGGTGACAGCAGCTTCTCTGACCTCCTCCCGCCCGGGCTGGGGAAAGTCCCAGACCACCGCCTCATGGGGAGATGCCCCGGAAAGTCCAGAAAGTCCCCGGCTGAGAGACACCAGGGCAAGTACCTTTGTAGCCAGCATCAGGGCCAGCGTGGGAAGACACCTCCGCTGGCTCCCAGGCCTGAAGAAAACTCTGCAAGACAAAAAGAGATGGTGGAGAGGCAGAAAGGAGGGGAGGAGGGCAGAGAGGCTGCCTCCCCCCCAGGCGAGACCACGGAGGGGAGGGGGATCAGAGGCGGGGGGGGGGAGAGGGCCAGCGGGCAGGGGGAGGCGGACAGGACCAACCCACACCGATCCGGCACCCACTAGAGTCTGTCTGCTCAGCTTCACCACATAAGCGCTGAGCTGCCGGCACCGAGACACCAACTGCCCCTCAGTGAGCACACTGCACCCCAGAACCCCAAGCCCAGATCCCTCCACCCAGCACGACCCCCAGAGCCGACATGTCTGCTGAGCGAGCAGCCCTCACTTCGGGACCTCAGCACAGAGGCTGCCGACACCGCTGCTCCTGCAAAGGAGCCCACCTGCTGGAAACCGGGGAGTCCCCAGCCGCCCAGGAGAAGGAAGGCACAAATGAGGACTCCCCCAACGCCGGCCACACAGAGGGGCTGGCATCTGGCCCAGGGGTGAAGCCTGCACATCCTCCGGAGACCAGCCTGCTGAGGGAGAGGGGCTGAGGACTGTGGATGCCCCGCTGGAATGCGCCGGGCTGCTCGCGGGGCGGGGCGACCGGGCCGTGCTGACTATTGGCAGAGGCCTTGGGGGGGCTGCAGCTCCTCCTGACGCAACCTGGGCCCTGCTCTGGGATGGTCCCCAGTTCAGAGCACCCCAACCTGGTCCTACACCCCAAAGAGCCCTCCAGCTGTGCACACCTGGCCTCCTGGGAGGGGGCTGGGCCAAGCGACCCAGTCCGGAGGAGGGGGGCGTCCTGGACAGGGAACCTGGAGACACACTGGGACCTGGGCTGGCTCCCTCCCCGGCCTCCGTTCCCGTCTGACAGAGGAAAGACCATGCCGAAGACATCGCAGTTCTGGCTCGACTGTCTGCCTGTCCCCAGTGCCTGCCTGTCCCGCACCTGCACCAGATGAGGAGTCACGGAGCAGGCTGAGCAGCGCCGGAGCTCCGCATTCATCACCACAAACCACCGTGCAATCACACGGCACCTCCTGGAAGGTTCTCGTTCACATGCTCCAGACCACTCCCGCACCCCCCATACCTCCCCCAGCCCACTCAGCTGGGGACCAGCGGGGTTTCGCTGTCCTCTCCAGCCTGCAGCATCGTCTCGGCCCCTCCACCAGATTCACTGCTCACCCCCAGCCCCCCGTGTCGGCGTAGCTGAGCCCCAGGACGGCAGCCACTCCCACCAGGCAGCAGCCTCGGCCTCTGAAGCTTAATTTCTAGGGAAGAGTGTCAGATGACAAACTCACCAGACAAGCGCACCGTGCGGTATGGTCGAAGTGGTGAGCGTCGTGGAGGACACAGCAGGATAACGGTATGGGGGCCGGTGGGGGTGCAGTGTCGCACAGGGAGGGCAGGGAGGCTCGTGGAGAAGGGACACGCTGAGATGTCGAGGTCCTGTAACTGGATCTCCCCGTCGGCGCACACGCTGGGCGGGCCTCCTGCCACAGCTGCTTCTTTAAGAACAAACTTGAACTAACCCAGTGGCTGTCTCCTCCACACCCCCAGCCCCCATTCCCAGTTCCATCAAAATTGTTCTTAAAAATGTCCCCGATGACCTCAGTGCCACATCCAGCTCCCACCTCTCTGTCCTCACCTTTCTCAACCATGTGACATGGTTTATCCTGGCACCCACCCCCACCCCCGCCCCAGCTTCCTGCTGCCTCAAGCTCCTGACTCTCCTCCCACTGCACCGGCTGCTCCTCCCCTGGGAAGCCCTCGGCCCCTGACCCCTGACCCCCGTCCCTGGTCTAAGTCCTTCTCTCTCTGCCTATACTCTCTCCATGGGGCCACCCCAGGCTGGTGGTTTTGGTACTGACTGCATGTTGGCGTGTCCTGAATTATATCTCCAGCACTGAGCCCTCCCGAAGCTTGAGAGTCACACATCCCGCTGACGTGATGTCTCCACTTAGCAACTGGCAGGCCACTCAACTCAAGTCTGGAAAGGGACTCCCGGCCCAGCCCCTCACCTGGCCCCCAGCCCCCCATGGAGACGGTGAGTGGCCACACCTAGTTGCTCAGATCAAACTTCCTGGAGCCAACCTTGCCAGTCTCCTCCTGTTTCCTGTCAACCCCGTCTGCTGCACACACTCATCAAAGCTGCCACCTGTCCCTTCCCAGCCACGTGGGCATCAGCCTGAGCTTGCACTGCCAGGTCTCCCTTCAGCAGGAAACCTGCCTGCCGCTGAGGGGCCTGGTAGCAGACGGCCTCTGGCCACCTGCTGCAACCTTCAGACCAAGACCACACTCTTCCCTGGCAGCCACTAGTCAGCCACAGAGCGGACACTGGGACCCGGACACTTCCTTCCAATGGAAGATTCCTCTAATGGGCAGTCTATGCCCAGAACTCCCCGTTGGTTGGGTTCTCCAAACTCCATCAGATCTGCACTGCAGGCTGAGGCTTCCTGGTCCGCAGGCTTCCTTCCCACTCTTCTTTCTTTTTTTTTTTATTTTTTTATTTTGAGACAGAGTCTCACTGTGTTGCCCGGGCTAGAGTGCCGTGGCGTCATCCTAGCTCACAGCAACCTCAAACTCCTGGGCTCAAGCGATCCTTCTGCCTCAGCCTCCCAAGTAGCTGGGACTACAGGCATGTGCCACCACGCCCAGCTAATTTTTTCTATATATTTTTAGTTGTCCAGCTAATTTCTTTCTATTTTTAGTAGAGACAGAGTCTCGCTCTTGCTCAGGCTGGTCTCAAACTCCTGAGCTCAAGCGATCCACCTGCCTCGGCCTCCCGGAGTGCTGGGATTACAGGCGTGAGCCACCGCGCCCGGCCCTTCCCACCCTTCTTTCACAGGCATCGGATCAGCGTCAGGGTCTGAAGCTTCTCCCTGCCCATCCTCCACCTTCCCCTTACCTTACAGAACCCCCAGTAAATGCTTTGCACCTCCTAATGCTCCCTCTGTGGCTGCTTCCTGAAGTCCCGCCCGACACGGCGCCCTAACCTCAGCCGCGTCGTCATGGCGTGGACATGGACAGCAGCCTCCCACCTGGCCTCCGCGCCTCCTCTCTCACTGCCGTCCCCATCTCAATGCTCGTGAAGCTGCGTTCATCTTTTTAAAACATAAACCAGACTGGATCACTCCCCAGCTTTAAAACAATGGCTCCTCTTTGCCCCTGGAATGAGATGCCCGAATCCTATTCTACAGCCGGCAAGGCTCTGTGATCTGTGATCTGGCCCTGCCCAGCCCTCTGCCTGCATCTCCAACACACCCGCCCTTGCTCCTGGCGTTCTGGCCACAGCAGCCCTCTGTCCGTTCCTCGAACACAGCAAACACTCCGTGGTTCCCTCTGCGCCCTGGTCGTCACGTTCAAGTGTCAGCTCATACATCACCTCCTCAAAGAGGCCTCCCTCATGACCCCATCTACGTGGCCTCCTGTTTAAGGTTGCCACATTTAGAAAATAAAAATCAGGACATTCAGTTACATTTGAATTCCAGGTAAACAACAAATAATTTTTTAGTGTAAGTATGTCCCAAATATTGCAAACGTTCCATGGGACACACTTATACTAAAAACGGTTCTTTACCTGAAACTTCTGTTTAACCGAGTGTCCTGCATTTTGTCCGGCAACCTTACCCCTCCTCAATCTTTGCCACGACA